AATGAAATATAACTTTAGGGTATTTTTAGAGTATTTATTAGAATGTGTCGAACTCTGCCGATAATTTTAATAATATTATAAATTTTCTTTTTAGTTTGTGCTTGAACCACGCAGAAGTTCTTGGCTGGAAATAATTAATGTGGGAAATATAGATACTAGAAGGAAACATATCTTTGTTTGTTAACTTTATTTTGAAGATTAATGTTTTAACCGAACAATAAATTAATAGTAAATCTACGTGATGGGGCCCTATCGCTACAAGCTCTATTGGTAAATCATAATGTAAACGATTCATTATGTGTTTTGTTATATTAGTTTTGGAAGCATTTTTTGAAGAGGTGCAAACTTAACATTTTATTTAACATTTATATTAAGTTCATAAATAACCGGGTTCTTGTACCTATATGTTTCTGTTTTCCTCCGCTATCTATCACTATCATTGTAATGTACAAACATTTTCGTTCAGAGCTTAGTACAGTACCTATAGAATCTATAGAAAAATCTATGTTCAATTGGATCAAGTAAGTTAAATTATACTATTTATGTTGCAGCCTCGAGCCAGATATGTGCATGAAAATGAACTTTGAACCAGTTCTGGAGTCTTCTCGAAAGATGGTTTTGCAGATTACATTACAGGGAAACACTACGAAGAATACGAAGATATTGTATATTATAAATCTTGATTTTATGAATACTTTGATACAGTTTTATTTTTCAACCCTCAAAAATTACTTAACCTTAAGTATATAAATATTGACCAGTTGATGGAAAATCCTTTTCATGAATTTCGATACATAAGTATCGTGAAAGTTATTATGTGAATGTATAGGCACGATCGACTGGAGTAACAGTGCACGCAGCAACTACTAAATATATTTCGCTAATATGTTGGTAATGTTTAGCAGCTAGATAAAAATTAAATCCAGATTAATCATAAAATAATGATATTTTATTGATAAGTCAATTAAAACCAATTCTAAAATATCGATATTTCTACAGTTTTAAAAGTTACATCCCTAGTTCTATCCGCCATTACAGGTGACCAAGTGAAGTTTATGTAGGCACGATTTTTTCCTATTTGTTTCTTATCCATACTCTTATCATATCAGTGATTTGAAGCAAATAGCAAAAAAACTTTTTGGTTGCCTCTTATGTAACAGATCAACTGGCCGTCAAATATTACACGTATAATTTCCAAATTCAAAATATTAACGCAAATTCTTTTCCAGCGTGTATATTTTGAAAATGATACCAAAAATTTACAATAAAAACGGTTTTGTCAATTGTGTTTTTGTAGGCATTATTGTGTTGTATTCAGTGTACATTTTGAAGCAGTTGTTGTCCTTGTTGGTCAAGACATTATTTAGGTTCTAAATCGTATGTGGTAGTAGGCATGTTGATCAGTAAAGTACCAGACAATGAAGAGGGAAAAGAGGAGGGTGCGGCCGTCCCGGCCGCTGAGAGTGATTCACATCATGAATATCAGACGGCCAACGAATTGTTTGAGTTCATGGCGAAGAATCAGAACTTCAACACCGGCGGTGAGTACCTATAATTCAGTTTGTTTGCAATAAAACATTACGTAACAACTTATAAACAAGTACTAGATGTACCCCATAATTACATTGAAATAATAATGTATTCTGTGGAAAGTCTTTGTGAACATCATAAACTTATTTCCGAGAACTATAAAATAACAATAGACATGATCCCAACAATTTGTTACAGATATGGACAAGTTAACTACCAGAGACCTAGTGATTCTGTACAAGAACATTGACCTTGGAACAAAACTTATGTCGAATGCTAGTGAATTGAAAAACAAGAGACCAAATCAGCACGTGGAGACTGTGGTGTACGACGAACCAGAGTCCGATGGCTCCGACATCAGCGATATCTACAGCAACGAGGACCTCACAAACGTGTACCTCATCAACAATGAGAAACTCGACCTCATTAATACTCCATCATCTGCAGAAAACACTTTATGCCAAAAAATTGGGGACCTCGAAATGCACACCTCTGGCCTCACCACCGAATACGACAATCATTTTCTCTTCAAGAATCCTTACATCAATGAACAACTCAAAAATATAAAGTTTATGAACAACGCCTCCGACACAAACACAGTACTCCCGGCTTCCTTACTTGACTACATTTGTTGCAAACGTTTGGAAGACAACTATAACTTTTACATGGACAATATTATTCGATACGTAAAACATACAATAGAGCAACTGAAGCGCATAAGCAATGGTGATTATTTAACTGACAAAGCGAAAGAGAAGTGGCGTGAAGTCGAGAGCGGTGTGGAAGATAACTGTCAGGTCAATACTAAAGTTCTAGCGACATCTTCTAGCATCCCGACGCACATGGAACGAAAGATTGGAGGGAGAGAGTCTACGTGGGACGACATAGTTCACTCAGCAGTGGATATTAGATCGCTGACAAAAATTCTTCAAAAAAGAATTGTAGTACAAGTACCAAACCTCATTTGTGGGTCGTATAAACTTCTGAGTAAATGTTGCGCCGAAAACGTAATCATTCGTTGCAAGAAAGACAAGTGGCCAGTTGACGAGGCAACAAACACTGAGTCACAAGTGGACGTTGTATTTCAGTTACAGCGTTCTGAGACTGGACAAGTCGTCAGCAAGATTAGCTCAATTATGATCTTAAAAACTACACCTGCAGTTGTTTATGGTAAAATACTTTATATCACTCAACTTTGTAGCTCTAAAATATTCGAAATACCTTGTTTGATTGTTTGATTTTCAGATTCTCTTGGACAAGATATAAAGCCCTTACCTTTACCTTCTAATGAGCCAAGTAATGAAGATCAATTTCCGGAGACGAGTGTCAAAATAGTAGAATTGAAACCCATAATAGATGAATGTATGGATGAACATGTTTCACACAGTACAGAAATGTCCGTTAAATCTGAGTGCAGTGTACAAATTATTGAAAATGAAATTGAAGACACCCTTGTAGATATTATTGATTGTGGATTTAGTGAGCACGAAGGCACTGAATCATCAAAAAACTCCTGTTATCTAGTATCGAGTGATTCGAGTGACGCTTTAAAAGATATTTTGGATAGAAAGGTTAAGCTTGCACAAAGAGAAAAACGTGGTGACATATTTCCCGACGACTTGCGATTTACAATACAAAAGTTAACTATGCAGAGTGCTTTGACAGAGGAAAGCGGAGAAGACTTATCGCACTCAACAAAGAAAAAGTCTCCGACGCGAGCCCGAGTCAAGTCACCATACGAAAATCAATCGCTTATAATGGAGGAGAAGAAAAGAAAGAAGTTAATAGAAATAAGAGAGAGACGAGAAAAAAAGAAAATGGCGCTCGCTGAAAACTGCAAAGTTACGAAGCATAGGTTCGGAAAGGGAGGTGTAATGCCACAATCTGTTAGCTCCGTTACAAAACTATCAATATCCAACAAGTCTTTTTACAATTCTATCTACGGCCAGTCGAATACGGATCCTAGTAAGCAAGCCAAAGGTAAAAATCGAAGGGGAGGGAAGCGAAACACTCTGGAGATAGATATTATTGAGAGAAGTAATGACACCGCACCATCTACTCCAGAGCGGAACAGCCAGAAATATACCAACAGAAGCTATTACTTAGACGATACC